TTTGAAGAGTGTTCTTTCTGCTGCATAGTCCGATATGCAAATGTAACACAGTTTTTTGATTCACTCATTTACCGAATGGCATTTAGATTGTTTACAGCAATTGACTATTGTGAATAGTGCTTCTATGAACATAGTGGTGCATAAGTTCTTTTGAATTGGTGTTTTGGAATTCTTAGGGCGGATTCCCAGCAATGGTATCTCTGAGTCAAAAGGCAGTTCTATCTTTAGTTTTCTGAGGAAATTTCATACTGTTTTCCAAAGTGGCTGCACCAGTCTACATTACTACCAACAGTGTACTAGGGTTCCTTTTTCTTTAAAACCTGTCCAGCATTTGGTGTTTATTGATTTGTTGCGATGGTCATTCTGCTGGTGTGGGGTAGTATCTCTTTGTGGTTTTAATTTGTATCTCTTTATTGGCTAGTGGTGTTGAGCATTTTAAGTGCACATATGGACTGTGTCTTTCTAAGAGAAGTATCTCTTCAATCTGTTGCTTGTTTCTTAAAAAATGTTTATTTTATTGATTGTACTATTACATTCCCCTCCTTCCTATGCCATGTATACCCATACCCACCCACATTCCCCCATTTTAGTTTATGTTCATGCATCATACATATAAGTTCTTTGGCTTCTGCATTTTGTATACTATTCTTAACCTCCCCCTGTCTTTGTTCTGCTACCATTTATGCTCCTTATTCTCTGTACCTTCCCCCCCCTCCACCCTATACTGATTCGCTGATAATTCTTCATGTGATCTCTATTTCTCTGATTCTGTTCCTGTTTTAGTTGTATGTTTTGTTTTAGGTATGGTTGTTGATAACTGAGTTAGTTGTCATTTTACTGTTTATACTTTTGATCTTTTTCTTAGATAAGACTTATTTAACATTTTATATAATAAAGACTTGATGGTGAAATTCTTTGACTTGATCTTATCTGGGAAACACTTTATCTGCCCTTCCATTCTAAATGAAATCTTTGCTGGATAGATCAGTCTTGGTTGTGGGTATTTGGATTTCATGACTTGGAATACTTCTTTCTAGCTCCTTCTTGCCTGTAAGGTCTCTGGAGAAATCTGCTGACAGTCTGATAGCAACTCCTTTGTAGGTGACTGTCCTCTAATCTCTTGCTGCTTCTAGGATTCTCTCCTCCATTTTAATGTTGGTTAATGTAATGATGATGTGCCTTGGACTGTTCCTTCTTGGGTCCAACTTCTTTGGGACTCTGAGCTTCCTGGATTTCCTGGAAGTCTTTTTCCCTTGCCAGATTGGGGACGTTCTCCTTTATTAGTTGTTCAAATAAGTTTTCCACTTGTGGCTGTTCCTCTTCCCCTTCTGGTACCCCTATAATTCGGATGTTGGAGCGTTTAAAGATGTCCTGGAGGTTCCTAAGACTCTCCTCATTTCTTTGAATTCTTGCTTCTTGACTCTTTTCCGTTTGGCCATTATTTGCTTTCTTCTGGTCCACTCCATTGATTTGAGTCCCAGTTTCCTTTTCATTGCTATTGGTGTCCTGTGCAATTCCATTCATTTCAATTAGTTTCGCCTTCATATATTTGTCTAATTTGTGGCTATAATCCTCCAGTTCTGTGAGCATCCTGATCACCAGTGTTTTCACCTGTGCATCTGAAAGTTTGGCTATTTCTTCATTGCTTAGATTTATTGGCTCTGGGGCTCTGAGTTGTTCTTGAGCCTGTTTTGATCTGTTCGTGCCTGTTACAGAATGAGGAGTGGAGCCTTACGTGTTCACCAAGGCTGGGCAACTCAGTCTCTGGGTTGAGACGCTGGATGTGGGAGCATGGTCAGAGAGGGGCCCTCTGCTGCTTCCCGCCGCTGGGGCCTGTGCAGTCTTGTCTCACTGCTCCCTCCTTTGCTGGTTTATCTGCGTGAGAATGTGTGACCGTGGTTCGCCCTCAGTGGGTCCACCGGTTGCTACTCCACACTTGGGATTTGCCCACGGCTGCTTGTACTCCTGGGTTGCATGCCCAGGTTGGTCCAGTGGATCTTTCCTGCCCGATCCCACTCTGCTGCTACCTCTGCCCCTCTTAGCGGTTTGGCTGAAGAGGTCATTGTTGTCAGACTTCCATATAGTTACTTTTCTGTGGGTTGGCTGTGTTTTTGTTGCTAAAACTTTGTTATTTTTAAACTTGGTTGTGTGAGAAGGCACTATGTATTCTCATGCGCCTCCATCTTGGCGGAAGTCCCAATAATGATAAATTAAGAAGCTATATCTAGACTTCCGCCAAGATGGAGGTATAGGTGGATGTGCCGTGCCTTCTCACACAACCAAGTTTAGGGACAACTAAATATTAGCATCAGAAAACACCACCAGAACATGGAAAACTGAACTTTTCGGAAGTCCGCTAACAACAAATTCTTCAGCCCGACCGGTAAGAGGCGAAACCAGCGTCTGGTGAGGAGTTGCAAAGGAGGGCTCTGTCGGACCTGGGCGCGGAATCCAGACGCGCGAATCCGGACTCGCGCGTTCCAGATGCAGGATTGGACCTGGTGAGCGACCGAGCGACCCACCGGGTGAGCGACTGCGGAGGAGACAGTGGGGAGGCGGTGCTTCATGTTGACTGTGGTTGCCTGTCTGTGGGCGAGCGGACGGGCGAGGGAGTGGGCGATTGGACCGGGGCCGGCGGTCCCGAGGCTTGCGGCAGTAGAGGGCGCCGCCATTTCCGTGCTCTGATCACACCCCCACATGCAGAGTCACAACCCAGCGACCTGGGAGTCCAAGGCGCCGCTTCTCACATTTAAAGGGCCAGAACAGACCAAAAATGTCGTGGGAAGACCTCAAAGCCCCAGAGATAAATCTAAGTGACGAAGAAATAGCAAAACTCTCAGACGCACAGTTTAAAACACTGGTCATCAGCTTCCTCACAGATCTGGTTGATTATAGCCACAAATTAGAGAAACATATGAAGGCTAAATTAAGGGAAATGAATGGAATTCCACAGGAAACCCATAGAGATGAAAAGGAAACTGGGACTCAAATCAATGGAGTGGACCAGAAGAAAGCAAATAATGGCCAAACAGAAAAGAGTCACGGAGCAAGAATTCAAAGAAATGAGGAAAGTCTTAGGAACCTCCAGGACATCTTTAAACGCTCCAATATCCGAATTATAGGGGTACCAGAAGGGGGGAAAGACACAACCACCAGTGGAAAAATTATTTGAACAAATAATAAAAGAAAATTTCCCCCAATCTGGCAAAGGAAACAGACTTCCAAGAAATCCAAGAAGCCCAGAGAGTACCAAAAAAGTTGGACTCAAGAAGAAACACACCAAGGCATATCATAATTACATTAGCCAAAATTAAAATGAAGGAGAGAATCCTAGAAGCAGCAAGACATAAGGGGACAATCACCTACAAAGGAGTCCCCATCAGACTGTCAGCAGATTTCTCAAAAGAGACCTTACAGGCAAGAAGGGGCTGGAAAGAAATATTCCAAGTCATGAAATCTAAAGACCTACAACCAAGATTGCTCTATCCAGCAAAACTTTCATTTAGAATGGAAGGACAGATAAGGTGCTTCTCAGATAAGACCAAATTCAAGGAGTTCATCATCACCAAGCCCTTATTATATGAAATGTTAAAGGGACTTATCTAAGGAAAAGAAGTTAAAGAAACATGAACAGTGAAAGAACAACAAGCTCACAGTTATTAACAACCACACCTAAAACAAAAGCAAACTAAAAGAACAGCTAGATCAGGAGTGGAAATATAGAAATGAAGATCTCAAGGAGGGTTAGCAACAGGGGAGTGGGAGGAGGAGATGGGGGGAGAAGGTACAGAAAATAAGTAGCATAGACAGTAGGTAGAAAATAGATGGGGGGGCAAGAATAGCATGGGAAATATAGAATCTAAAGGACTTGAGACACATGGACATAAACTAAAGGGGGGTAATGGTGGGGATGGGGGGCAGGGTGGAGGGGAATGAAGGGGGGAATAGAACAACTGTAACAGCATAATCAATTTTATAGAAAAAATAAATAAATAAATAAATAAATAAAAAGAAGCTATATCTAATAGCACTATTAGAGGTGAGTTAAAAAGAGATAAACTGGCTACAGAAAAGGCCCCTTTCTGATTTCTCTATCTACTCACTTGCTTTGTAGGCATTTAATAGAGCAATTGTATTTTTTGGACTTTAACTTTATTTTAACTGAATTTCTCCTGCTAACCTTAGCCAAATTTGGTGAATAGACTTCAGCTTTCATGTTCATCTCTTAATTTTTTATTCACCAGGGGAGGGAAAGAATATTTGCAAGTCTTACCTAAGGTTTCAGATATCTTATAGCTAGAATTTTGATTTTGTTGTGTTCAAAAATGAGTGTCCATTTTACCTGTTTATAGCTGGTAACAATTCAGCTGTGACAAGAGAATATAAATGTACTTTGAGAATTATTTCTAGAGTCCAAAGTTCAGTTAAGATAGGTTATTATAAGCTATGCAGAAATCTCAGGAGTGTTTACCATTGTTACGAATTTTGAATTTTGACTATTTTGTAATTTGTTGGTAGGAAGATTGCAGATTACATTAAAATTTACCATGTAATAAAGTCTTAGTGAAATTTTTTCAATAACCTACAAAAGGTGTTGAAGTTGAACTTGAGAGTAATTGGACCACTGATGGAGAGAAGACAAGAGAGGCTGTGGGAGTCTTTTGGGGTGCAAGAAATGTTCTTTATCTTAATCTGAATGATGGTAATATAAATTTATGTATGTAAATTACTAAAATACATACTTTCATAAAATATCATAAAATCCACATAAAATTTGTGAATTTTATGTCATATTGTGATACTAATTAAAATGATACCATTGTCAACTTTCTTGTTTTAACTGCTCTATGAGATAGCTGTCTGTATGTTACTGGAAATCAGTATGTTCTTTTTGATAGGTTTCTGGTATACCAAGAAATTTGAGAATTCTAGAAATGTAAATATCACATTTTAAATATGTGACATAAGAAAGTTAATGTCTGCTATACTTTATTCCCTAGTTTAGGAGCTGTGACTAATGAGAATCAGAGACCATGGATGAAGATGAACTTGAATTGCATCCACAAGAACCAAACACATTGTTTGAAGGAATAGGTATATCTATTTTTGGGGGGGGGTTCTGCTTTCCATCTGCCAAATATGGAGTTGCTTGTCAATATGATGAATTGCTAGGTATTATATTGATTCATACTTAAGTGTCTTGTTACCTTGTTAAAATCTCTTACTTAGATTAGTAACACCATCAACATCAGAGTCTTGATTGTTATTTCCAGTACTTCTCATATTTTGCAGTTACACTACTAAGTCCAGAGAACAGAGAATATTCATAGAACACTTTGAAAGTGTTTCTTGTTCAGTTCTGCTTGTATAAGTTTACTATTGTTGCCATAATAAATTGCCACAATTTTAGTAACCAAAAACAACACCAGTTTGTTTAGTTTTGTAGGTCAGAAGTCCAGATGTAGTGTGGTTTCACCTGTATTCTGTGTTTATAGTTTCAGCAAGTCAGGATCAAGATGTTGACAGCTGCATTTCTTTCTAGTTTCTCTGAGGGAGAATCCTATTTTAAGACATTCAGACTTTTGGCCAAATTTAATTCCTTGTGTTTTTAAAATATATATATTTTATTGATTATGCCAATAAGTTGTCCTATTTCCCCTTCTTCATTCCCCTCCACCCTGCACACCCCCTCCCCGACCCCCTCCTTTAGTTTATGTCCATGTATCGCAAGTTCTTTAGATTCTATATTTCCCATGCTATTCTTGCCCCCCCTTCTATTTTCTATCTACTGTCTATGCTACTTATTTTCTGTACCTTCTCCCCCCTTCTCCTCCTCCCACTCTCTGTTGCTAACCCTCCATGTGATCTCCATTTCTGTGGCTCCGCTCCTGATCTAGCTGTCCTCTTAGTTTGCTTTTGTTTTAGGTGTGGTTCTTAATAACTGTGAGTTTGCTGTCCTTTCACTGTTCATCTTTTTTATCTTCTTTTTCTTAGGTCTTACCTTTAACATTTCATATAATAAGGGCTTAGTGATGATGAACTCCTTGAACTTAACCTTATCTGAGAAGCACTTTATCTGTCCTTTCATTCTAAATGAAAACTTTGCTGGATAGAGCAATCTTGGTTGTAGGTCTTTGGATTTCATGACTTGGAATACTTCTTTCCAGCCCTTTCCTGTCTGTAAGGTCTCTTTTGAGAAATCAGCTGACAGTCTGATGGGAACTCCTTTGTAGGTGACTATCCCCTTATTTCTTGCTGCTTCTAGGATTCTCTCCTTCATTTTAATCCTGGCTAATGTAATTATGATGTGCCTTGGTGTGTTCCTTCTTGGGTCCAACTACTTTGAGCTTCCTGGATTTCCTGGAAGTCTATTTTCTTTGCCAGATTGGGGGAGTTTTCCTTTACTATTTGTTCAAATAAGTTTTCCACTCGTGGCTAGTCCTCTTCCCCTTCTGGTACCCCTATAATTCGGATATTGGAGTGTTTAAAGATGTCCTGGAGGTTCCTAAGCCTCTCCTTATTTTTTTGAATTGTTTCTTCATCCTTTTCTGTTGGGTCATTTTTTTTCCTTTTTCTGGTCTACTAATTTGATTTGAGTCCCAGTTTCTTTTCTATTACTTTTGGTTTCCTGTGCATTTCCCTTCATTTCAATTAGTGTAGCCTTCATTTTTTCCTCTAATTTGTGACTAAAATCAACCAGTTCTGTGAGCATCCTGATCACCAGTGTTTTGAACTGTGCATCTGATAGGCTGGCTATCTCTTGGTCACATAAAAGTATTGGCTTTGGGGCTTTGATTTGTTCTTCTGTTTGAGCCATAATGTTTTGGTCTGTTTGCGCCAGTTATGTATGGGGGCAGAGCCTTAGGTGTTCACAACGGTGGGGCGACCGAGTAGCTGTATGTGGGGGTGGGGTCAGAGAGAGGCAAAGGCGTTTGTTCCACTCTCTCAGATTTCGGTCCCCTCTGCTGCTTCCTGCAAGCAATCCTGGCCCCCCTGGAGCAGGCTCCCTGGTGTGCGGGCCTATGCACCCTCCAGGACCCTGTGGGCCTCTCCAACAAATTCTCCGTGAGCCTGGGAGCTTCTCCTGGCACCTAGACCCCGAAAGGTTTTTCAGTTGGTGCTTTTGGGCTTTACTTCTCATTGCTGGGGGTGGTTTGTCTCACTGCTCGCACCTTCGCCTGGTTTATCTGCACGCTAATGTGTGACCATGGTCAGCCAGCCGCCTTGCGCCCTCACTGGGTCTGCTTGTTGCCACCCCATGCCTGGGATCTGCCAACCGCTGCCTGTGCTCCTGAGTTAGTCTGGCCTATTTTTCCTGCCCAACCCCACTCCGCCAACCACTGACTCCACCCTCCACTGACTCCGCCCCTCTTACCGGTCTGGCTGAATGGTTTGTTGTTGGACTTTTGTACAGTTCAATTTTCTGTGTTTTGGTTGCATTTTTGTTACTAAAACTTTGTTGCCTTTAAACCTGATTGTGCGAGGAGGCAGTGTTTCCACCCACCCCTCCATCTTGGCCAGAAGTTATCTTATTCCTGTGATTTTAAGATAGAGATTCTTGTTTCCTTACAGACTATTAGCAAGTGCTATTTTTTGATTCTAGAGACTGCCCATATTTCTTCTGTGACAAAAATGAGTTGAGTCCCTCTCATCCTTCAAATATTTTGGGCCTTCCAGTCCATCATATCTTTTTGACTGCCACCAGAAACCCAGTCAAGATAATTTACCTATCTTGCATCCATACCTTATTTAGATCTACAGGGTTTCTTTTATCATATTACATAACATATTTAAAAGGTCTAGGAATTAGGATTTGGCTGTCCTTGAAGGACCGTTGTGTCTACCATTGTCTGCACCTGGTGCCCCAAAAATGTATCTTCTTCCCAAAATTAAAATCTATTTTCAGATTTAACATCTAAAATTGTTATCCGAAATTAAGCAGTTGAGAAATTCCAAATGTTATCTAAATTGTATGCTTTAAATAGTCTGGTATTTAGTTAATTAAGTATAATCGCTGTCAACAAAAATCGTAGGGAATTCTGAATATTCTGGTTCAAACAGGGTGAAAGGAAGGTTAAATGTAGTCATTATTTAAGATAAAGCCATTCCATTTTGTTTCAGTCGTGAGAATATTCTTTTATGGTCCATGGTGTTCCTCATCTTTGATGGTGAGTATTTATAGCTCTGCATTTTTTATCAGTCTGCTTCCTGCACTTATAATTTGGGAGTTCAGCAGTCTCATTTATATTGTACTTTCTTTGTCACTTTCTATCCAGGTAACATTAATTCTGACAATTTAAGTTTCTAGAGAATTTTGTGCATTTTCTGTGTATGTCATGGGAATTTACTTTGTTAGAAACTTTTTAAATAGTTTTCTCAGATAATCACATCTCTTTTTGACTTCTACCTAGATGTCTAAGGGACAATATTCCTATTAAACTCCTTTGAAACACCCAAATTTGATTGTCTGAGGCATGTACTGTAGTGGCCTCAAAGGATGTTTTATTTTGATTATTTGGATATCAGGGAAGAATTATGAAGTCATATATTGCTTTTTCCCTAGAACTTGCTTTCCTGAGAGTAAATCTTTCTAATTTTAACTGTTTTTCTCTTGCTGCCATCTGTGATGGCAGAGAACTTCCCCATTCAGCCCTGCTATGTTTTTTAATAAGTTGTTCCTACAGAATAACTTCTCTTTCCTTAAATTTTACTTATGTGGCAAGAAGAAAGCAGGCCACATCTTCAACATTGTACTAAAATCTCCTGAGCTAAATATCCTAGTTCATTGTTGTAATTGATGTCTTCCACGTAACTGCAAGATAGTTATGACATCTGCTGCAACCTAACAAGGATATTGTTTTTTTCAGTTTATAGGAACATGTTTCTAGCTTGTTTTTGTCCTGACTAGCAGTCTTCTTAAAGACAAGGTCTCTTTTAATTGTCTTTACATGACAATTAGATATTGTATTAACTCCTTGTATAATTTCTCTACCCTGGTCATTTTCTCTGAGTTCTCACCGGCATTGAGTTGTAAATATCCATATGGTATTTCTCCTAGTGGTCTATTGTATTAGACTATTGATGTGTGTCAGCACTCTTTGGTGTGGAATCTGTGTTCATTTCTATTACTGCACCAGAAATTAAACAGTCTTAGTTTAAAACAGCAGAATTCCTTGTGTCAGTTCTTTAAAGTATATTTTATTGATTATGCTATCACAGTTTGCCCCCTCTCCACTCCTCCTCTGCATTGCACCCACCAACCCTCTGTCCTTCCTCACCTTAGTTCATGTCCATGGGTAGTACATATAAGTACCTTGACTTCTCTGTTTCCTGTATTATTCTTAATATCTCCCTATCTATATTATGCCTACCAACTATGCTTCTATTCCCTTCACATTCCCCCTCATTCCCCTCCCCACTGATAACCCTCCACGTGATGTCCATTTCTCTGATTCTGTTCTTCCTCTTGTTGTTTGCTTAGTTTTTCTTTTCGTTTCTTTTAGGGTTTAGTTATAGATAGTTTGAGTTTGTTGTCATTTTTTACTGTTCATAGTTTCTGATCTTCTTCTATTTCTTCTTCTAAGCTAAGTCCCCTTATAATGCCTTGGTGATGAATAACTCCGTTAACTTGATCTTATCTGGGAAGCACTTTATCTGCCCTCCTATTCTAAATGAAAGCTTTGCTGGATAGATCAATCTTGGATGTAGGTCTTTGGATTTAATGACTTGGAATACTTCTTTCCAGCCCCTTCTTTCCTGTAAGGTCTCTTTGGAGAAATCCGCTGACAGTCTTATGTGCACTCATTTGTAGGTAACTGTTTCCTTTTCTCTTGCTGCTTTTAAGATTTTTTTTTATATTTAATCTTGGCTAAGTTAATGATGATGTGCCTATGTGTGTTCCTCTTTGGGTCCAGTTTCCTTGGGACTCCGAACTTCCTGAAGTTCTTGAAAGTCTTTTTCCTTTGCCCGATTGGGGAATTTTTCCTTTATTGTTTGCTCAAATAAATTTTGAATTTCTTGCCCTTGTGTTCTGGCACCCCTATGATTCAGATACTAGAACATTTAAAGTTGTCTCAGAGGTTCCTAAGCCTCTCTTTATTTTTTTGAATTGCTGTTTCTTCATTCTGTTCCAGTTATATATTTATTTTTTCCTTTTATTCTAGATCATTGATTTGAGTCCCAGCTTTTTTCTCTTCATTGTTGGTTCCTTGTATATTTTGCTTTATTTTACTTTGTGTAACCTTCATTAGTTCCTTCATTTTGCAACTGAGCTCAGTCAGTTCTGTGAGCATCCGGACTACAAGTGTTTTGAACTCTGCATCTCTGATAGGTTGGTTGGCTGTCTTCTTTTTGCTTAGCTCTTTCTCTGAAGTTTTGATATATTACTTCATTTGGGCCATGTTGCTTTGTTATGCACCTGTTATGTTGTGGGGAGGTGGGGCCTTAAGGGTTCACTCCATTGAGGTGGTCCTCTTTGCTGGGTTGTGGTACTGTTTGTGAGTGAGGGTTCAGAGAGGGAACAATGTGGCTTTCTGGGTCCTTGCCCCACTTTCCAACAAACTCTGTTGTGTGAGACTGGGAGTTTCTTCTGCCATACAACTCTTCTGCTGTAGTTTGCAGCTAACTCGTGGTTAGTTTTCCTTTCAGCCATCTCCCACCTTGCCAGTACATAGTCCTCTACCTTGCTTTGCCATGTGTCCTGTCCTCTGTCCCACTCAGCCCACCCAGCTGCCCCTTTTGTCCCTCCTACTGGTCTGGTAAATGTTTATTTAACTCCTTGGTTGCCAGAGTTTTGTGCAGTTTGGCTTTCTGGCACTTCGGGTTGTTTATTGTTTCTAGATTGCTTATCTTTTGGGTTGTGTGAGGAAGTGAAGGGTTTCTACCGAAGCCTCCATCTTCCCTAGAACTTTGAATCATTTTTTTTAGATCAAAAAACTATCTGGGCTATTCCCCTTGAATTTAAATGGCTAAATTCAAGATGTTAGCAGGATGTTGTTTTTCTGGGACTTGAGCCATTAATCTGACTTCTGCCAATTCAAGTAGTTGCTGAATTCATTCAGTTAAGGCCAAGCTCCCCATTTTTTTCCTGGTTGTTGGCTGCATTTCTGGTCATTGTTCATAGCAGCTGTTTGTATTCATTCTCATGCTATTCATAGTGCCCCTTTAAGCAGTAGTGAATTGAGTCTCCTCAAACTTAGAAGTATGTTCTTTTTTTTTTAAGATGAAACTCTCTTAAGGTTTATACAACTTACCGATATCTGCAAAATCCTCATGGCATAAATCATAATGTGAGATATTCACAGTTCCATTGATTAGGGCATGGATATCTTTCATGGTAGATATGATGAAATGGGTTGGCTAGGGATTCTGCTTTTCATAGAGCTCTTCACGTGGGTTCCTATTACTTGCAGAGGCACTATTAACTCATTATTAAGCTGTAATATTCAGCTATTTTCATCTTGGTTAATTTTTTGATCTATCGTATCAGGAAATTCTCATCCTAAAATTATACACGGATCATGTCATTTCTCTATTCTCCACTGCCAGGAGATAGAGTATAAACTCAAGGTCCTCTACTTTTACAAACTTGTTTCTCAAAAGGCTTCCCAAAGTGAGCCTTCTGCATCATGCAAATGGGATCTACCCTTAGCCCCCTCAACTGCTTAAGGAAAATTGTATTTATAAACTAAGAATGGAAAAAAGTATTCATAATTTCATGATTCTACATAATACTGTAAAATGATTGTACTGTATTTTGTATAGAATTGGTTTATTATTTTATAGATACTCTTACAAGTAAACATTTTAGTGATTTTATTCACTGAGTTTTATGTGATCAAATTGGAATATATATACTTACCAAGAAAGATGAAGATTAGCAGTATGCTTCCTAAATCCTGTGTGAGTGAGTGTGTTGGTGTATGTGGGAGGATAGTCTTACTGGCTCACGTTTGCTAAGGTAAAATGCAAAAGTTGTAAATCTGTCTTCACTTGAGCATTGTGAGTAATGTGCTTTAAAGACAGACTGTAAATGCTTTGGAAAGAAATTCAAAGTACTAACGAGCTTAATCTTGCCACAAGTAAGCTTAGGTCATAGGCTGAGTGGGCTAAGCTTTTGCATTTTAGCCCTCATTTTAACACTTTTGGTGTATATTCATCTTTGAGCAAGTCACTTAATCTGCCAATGCCTCCATTTTCAAATGTCCTAATAATACTGAAACCTCTCATTACAGTTTTTCAGAACCCTTCCCACACATTTCCTTCAGTTTGATCATCACAACAGTCCTGTGAGATATGCATGGCAGATATTACTGTCCTCACTTAACTGACCAGGGAACAAACTCAGAGGTTAAATGACTTGCCCAAGCTTACAAAATGAATAACCGTCTAAACCCTTGTCTGATTTAGATTTTTTAACCCACTCTCTTGCCACTAAAGGCTTCCACATGTTTAAAATGGAGATTTAAATGATTTATTTCTTTTTTTTTAAATTTTATTTAGTTATTTTTCAAGTACAGTTTTTTGTCTATTTTTCCCATCCCAGCCTCCCCCGCCCCTTGCTCCCCCCTCCCTCCTCCACCCCCCTTAGTTCTCGTCCCTGTGTCCTTCCTATTTGTTCCTCCAAATCCCTCCCCCTTTTTCCCCTTATAAATGATTTATTTCTTTAAAAAATTACATATTGATTTTTTTTATAGAAGAGAAAGGAAAAAGAAACATTGTTGTTCCACTCACTTAGGCATTCATTGGTTTTTGTATGTGCCCTGACTATGAATTGAATCTGCAACCCTGAAATCCTGGCATACCAACTGAGCTACCTGGGCCAGGGCAAAAGGGTCTATTTCTTGATGTGAATTATTGAAGACAAATGGTTTTAAAGCATTTTGTAGTTCTGTAGAAATGAAAGAAAACATTCTCATTATTCTATATGTAATTTAAGTGGCTACTAACTAACTTTAAAAATAATAAACACCTTTCATTATTTTTTTGGCCCTTATTGGTAGCTTTTGTCTATTGAAGAACCACGTTTCTCTAATTGCCTGGCCATTGACACAGTTATTGAGTTAAGTACCTGTTTAAACTCAGCTACTCTGAGTCTCCACCAGGAGCACTAATCATCTGTAACCAAGATCCCTGATTTGTTTTATTTTTGTTTTTTCTTAGGATATCCGATTTTGGTTTCCATTTACGACATTCATTAAAAGTAGTATTTAAGTGCCATATGCTGTGCAAAAGAACTGTGTAATCTTGGGGAACTCATTTAATCTCATTTGGCTCCTATTTATTCTCCCCTACCTTCATTCCTAACTGAAGAGCGGACTAGAGAAGGGTTTTTAATATTCTGGGATAACTGGTTGGAGAATTGGAGTTTTGGGGAATGGGAAGAGGCTGAAAAGAGAGCATAGTATTCTACTTGGTGAGGCCGGGGCAGGCTCTGCTCCAGCCGACCTCATCTTTCACCACTTTTTAGGAGCTGTGCTTTTATTGTTTATCCATAAAGGTCCTAACCATTTGCCTTTTCTCTTTTCCTCCTTTATTGTGGCTTTCTATCTTTGTTTAATTTATGTCTCAATCCTTTTATATCCCAATTCTGGTAGTAACTTTTACATTTTCTGTCATATTTACGACTCAGTAATTTTATATCCTAAAGTCAGAGGGTAATTTCTAAGTATTCAGTCATTGATAAAGGATATAGTACAGATGGAGTGGTAAAATTATATATAAAAGCTGAAAGAAAAAAGAAAAAAAGAAATCCAAGAATGATAAAAAGAAAAAACTGATGTGTTGAAGGAGTTGGGGTAAGAAGGAAATCAGATATGAAGGAAAATTGTTTAAGAGCTTGAATTTGCATTATTTGATTACTCTTTATCATTTCTTAACATTTTATGTAGTTGGGAAGTTTTTATGTAGATGTTCTAATAAAAATTTTTCATGAATAATTGTCTTTAACTCTCCCACATTTATTGATTTTCTGGTATTTCTTTACTTCATAATTGATTAGGATTGAGTAAAACATAGTTACTGTGTTCAAAATTTCTGTTTTCTTTTAGAATTAAAAATAGACCATTTTCTTTTATTCTATTTTAATGCTTGAGAAAACTTAGGATGTAGCTCATTTTCCTGGTACAAACTAAACAACATTTACATCCTTTTAGATAGTCATGTGTACCTACCTGAAATTTGTCATTTTAATTTTTGTTTTTTTAAGGAACTGATGCTACACACATGGATGGTGATCAGATTGTTGTGGAAGTTCAAGAAACTGTTTTTGTTTCAGATGTTGTGGATTCAGATATAACTGTACATAACTTTGTTCCTGATGACCCAGACTCAGTTGTAATTCAAGATGTTATTGAGGATGTTGTTATTGAGGATGTCCAGTGCTCAGATATCTTAGAAGAAGCAGATATATCTGACAGTGTCATCATTCCTGAGCAAGTGCTTTATTCAGATGTAACCGAAGAAGTTTCTTTAGCACATTGCACAGTCCCAGATGATGTTTTAGCTTCCGACATTACTTCAGCCTCAATGTCTGTGCCAGAACACGTCTTGACAAGTGAATCTGTACATGTGTCTGACATTGGACATATTGAACACGTTCATGATAATGTAGTAGAAGCAGAAATCGTGACTGATCCTCTGACAACTGATGTAGTTTCAGAAGAAGTATTGGTAGCAGATTGTGCCTCTGAAGCAGTCATAGATGCCAGCGGGATCCCTGTGGACCACCATGATGATGATAAAAGCAACTGTGAGGACTACCTTATGATTTCCTGTAAGTCTTGGGTACAGTGATTATCAAAAGTATTCTTGAAGGTTGTCTTTTCTTATTACATCAGAGTGATACTTTCATGACATAATATAAAATTAAGATAAATTGTGTAAGACTATGAGCATTGTTGTTTTAGTTGGATCCTGTAAGATGAGCCATAAATATGAAAAGTGAAATGATACAAAGTAAAGAGTTATTCCTATATAAGAATGTAGTACTGATGAGAAAGATTAAAAAATTATGAAGATGTGATTAGGCTGTTACATACCTTAGGGGAATTACCCCTGAAACTTGCAAGGATTTCAGCTGGAAAAAAGTTTGTTCTTATTATATAGTTAAATCTGTATTTACTGTTTTTCTTTCAGAATGATGTCTGCTTTTCCTTCAAAATAATTATTATAGTTTTAAAAATCAATTTGCTCCTAGATTTGGAATTACATTATTTTAATGCCTTGAAATAAACAACTATAGATTTCATATCGATTAGAAATGTAAAATTAGAGGTTTTATATGGCGTTCACTGTTCCTTATGGGATACTGGCTTTCTTGATTGTGTTTAATTTTATATCAGTTAGGACATAATTAGAATTTTGTTTAAATAATAAATGTCATAATAGTTTCATTAGTAAATCCCATAGGTGTCTGAGCTTTCTAACAACCATTTTTAAACATGTTCTCTACAATAATAGGTTTTCAGTTTGTTAGTTGATCCTATCATCTATCTCCTAGTTTAAATAACTTGGTTAGCCTAAATTACCAACTTACGGGTGTATTAGTTCTTTAGAATCAATTTAAATATTTTAGTATCAACTAAAGTACAGATTTTTAAAGATAAATTTATCTAGAAATACCAGTTTTCCAGGTATTCTCTTATTGTTGGAAAACTACTTTTGTTAATGTTTATAATTTAAAAACCAATTGGGGAGGATTCTGTTGGTTGAGAAGAATACCCTTCATCCTTCCTCCCAATTGATAGGTAAAGTCTGGGTAGAGAAATTATGGCCTGATTTGATTTATACATAATAGAGAAAATGGAGAAGCTGTTGAGTCAATGTTTTGTTTTTCTTTTTTTTTAAATAAATTTATTTATTTTTTTTGAATTGTTTATGCTGTTACAGTTGTTCTATTCCCCCCTTCATTCCCCTCCACCCTGCCCCCCCACCCCACCATTACCCCCCCTTTAGCTTATGTCCATGTGTCTCAAGTCCTTTAGGTTGTATATTTCCCATACTATTCTTGCCCCCCCCCATCTATTTTCTATCTACTGTCTATGCTACTGGTTTTCTGTACCTTCTCTCCCCATCTCCTCCTCCCACTCCCCTGTTGCTAACCCTCCTTGAGATCTTCATTTCTATGTTTCCACTCCTGATCTAGCTGTCCTTTTAGTTTGCTTTCGTTTTAGGTGTGGTTGTTAATAACTGTGAGTTTGCTGTCCTTTCACTGTTCATGTTTCTTTAACTTCTTTTTCTTAGATAAGTCCCTTTAACATTTCATATAATAAGGGCTTGGTGATGATGAACTCCTTGAATTTGGTCTTATCTGAGAAGCACCTTATCTGTCCTTCCGTTCTAAATGAAAGTTTTGCTGGGTAGAGCAGTCTTGGTTGTAGGTCTTTAGATTTCATGACTTGGAATATTTCTTTCCAGCTCCTTCTTGCCTGTAAGGTCTCTTTTGAGAAATCTGCTGACAGCCTGATGGGGACTCCTTTGTAGGTGATTGTCCCCTTACCTCTTGCTGCTTCCAGGATTCTCTCCTTCGTTTTAATTTTGGCTAATGTAATTATGATATGCCTTGGTGTGTTTCTTCTTGAGTCCAACTTTTTTGGTACTCTCTGGGCTTCTTGGATTTCTTGGAAGTCTGTTTCCTTTGCCAGATTGGGGAAATTTTCTTTTTATTATTTGTTCAAATAGTTTTTCCACTGGTGGTTGTGTCTTTCCCCCTTCTGGTACCCCTATAATTCGGATATTGGAGCGTTTAAAGATGTCCTGGAGGTTCCTAAGACTTTCCTCATTTCTTTGAATTCTTGCTCCGTGACTCTTTTCTGTTTGGCCATTATTTGCTTTCTTCTGGTCCACTCCATTGATTTGAGTCCCAGTTTCCTTTTCATCTCTATGGGTTTCCTGTGGAATTCCATTCATTTCCCTTAATTTAGCCTTCATATGTTTCTCTAATTTGTGGCTATAGTCCACCAGATCTGTGAGGAAGCTGATGACCAGTGTTTTAAACTGTGCGTCTGAGAGTTTTGCTATTTCTTGTCACTTAGATTTATCTCCGGGGCTTTGAGGTCCCCCTGCGACATTTTTGGTCTGTTCTGGCCCTTTAAGTGAGAGAAGCGGCGCCTTGGAGTCCCAGGTCGCTGGGTTGTGACGCTGTATGTGGGGGCGTGGTCAGAGCGGGGAAAATGGCGCCGCCGCCGGTCAGACCGCTCACTCCCTCACCCGCGTAACCGGGCAACCACAGTCAACTCGCTGCCACCGCCTCCCCACTGACTCCTCCGTAGTCGCTCACCCGGTGGGCCGCTCGGTCGCTCACTAGGTCCAATCCTGGGTTTGGAACCCGTGCGACTGGATTCGCGCGTCTGGATTCCGCGCCCGGGTCGATCGAGCTCTTCTTTATAACTCCTCACCCGACGCCGGTTTCGCCCCTTACCGGTCGGGCCGAAGAATTTGTTGTTAGCGGACTTCCGAAAAGTTCAGTTTTCTGTGTTCTGGTTGTGTTTTCTGATGCTAATATTTAGTTGTCCCTAAACTTGGTTGTGTGAGGGGGCAAGGCACATCCACCTAAACCTCCATCTTGACGGAAGTCCATCTTGTTTTTCTATTTATACTCACAGTTTCATTTATTAGTATTTTTTATGGTTCAATTACAGTTTGTCCCAATTTTTCCCTATTATTCTCTCCCAACGTACACACCCCCACCTCCCACATCAGTCCGTTTCCAGTACCTGCCTCATTGTCTTTGCCAATGGGTCCTTTATACATGTAACTTAAAGACCTTTCTAATAGCTTTTTATGGCATAAGAAATGGAAATATATCAATTTCTGAAATATCTTTATTCAACATATAGAATAAAGAATCATATCGATTCTCTTTAGAAATTTTTGTGCTTCATCTTTATATACCTAATTGTTTTTATAAAATGCTTAGAACCCATCGTGGTGAGTACCCTTTAAAGATCTTACTTCAAATGAAACAAAAAGATTTTATTTTCTACAGTGTTTTTGTGTATCTGGACACAAATGTTCATTGTTGCAGCATAATTGTATATAGAGTCTTACAGTGTACATACTACTGTTGCTTTCAAGTTGATTGTATTTTTCTTGAGGACAAAATCTATTACATCTTTTCTACTTAGGTATATTTTGCATCAATATATGCAAAATATTCATACAAATATGAGTATTTGTATGAATTATTTGTTGAATTAACAAATGTACTATCTTTATAACTGAAATTCTATGGATTCCATGCCTCCTGCAGTGCCATGAGCAGTTGACATACTAATATGACTTTGGTTATAATGAATATTCAGTGAAAAGAGAGTCAGTGAGTGAATAAATTAGTGAAGCCCGAACCATCCTATCTGACAAACTCAGCATGAATATAATATATAGTTTGTTTGTTGCATTTGGTAGTTATTAGAATACAGGAAATGGTAAAATACTTATTTCACATATTTTACATTTTTAATACAGATATGTTTATTCATTCATTTTTCTATAGGTGGTTATTGGATATTTTTATAATTTATCATTTAAGGTCCCTCCAGGTTTTATGTAGGGAAGGTCAACTGGTAAAACAGTAAAATTTTGGAGTTTTAATAATTAACAAGATAATGTTTCTGGAGAGTAAATAAAAATATTTTAGCAAAGTTATCTTGATCAGTATTTAAAATTTGTCCTGATAAAATTTAGAAACATATTTTGTTCATTGGACTGTAATTTTTTTATTACTAGAGGTTATTTAGACCATATTGCAGCAGAAAAACATTTTCACAGGAGACATTACAAGGCAGTAAAAGGAGATGGAAATTAAATTGTTAAAGTACAAGATGGAAACTGAAGAAGGAAAAAAACAACTGTTTTGAAGTAAAAACCAGTGTAGCAACAATACTAATATGACTGACTATAATCAGGGCTTTTGTGACCAGGCTTTAAAAATGGCACAGTGTGGTGGGCGACTTCGAGTACAGCAAGAGGGACCTCGTGGGACATGGGGCCTTCGCCGTGGTCTTCTGGGCGGCACTGCCAGAAAACCGAATGGGAGGTAGCTATTAAAAGTATTAATAAAAAGAACTTGTCAAAAATGGCACAATGAAATAGTTAAAGAAAGATACGGACATGATTATGGAGAAATTGATAGATAAAGAAGACAAATAGTTTTCTTCTTTTCTATGCAGAAAAGAAGAAAATTAACATGGGAAAGTTATGGGAGAAAATTTTATCTGACAGTTATTAAAAATCTTCTTATCTGTAGGTAGAACCAGAACACTTACAGAAATGGCCACAATAAACTTTCAGAACTGTGGAAACTAACTTTCAGCATTACAGGGACTCATTTATTACACACAAAAAATGCTAAATCATTGTAACAACATCTAATTTTGTGGCCTTTTAACTGTTCACATCCACTCCTCCCAGAGGTGTGTGAGTGTACCCTCAAACCAATATCCAGTTTTACCACAATAAACATTAATATCCTGACAGCTACTAGAGAGGGCATGATGGTGTCAGAACTCCTTCAAGTCCCATTTCAAGAAAATTGTCATTATTTGACCTAATTGTTCTTTGGAAGACCTCATTTGTAAGGTTGTCTCCGTTTTTATGGAGATTGTGAGTTTGCTAGTGAACGGACCTTTCTCTGGAGTTCTCAGAAAAGATCAGAGATAATTATTGAACACCACTGTTAAGTAAGGCCATAGATACACAATTAGGGAAAATAGTAAGTGTTAGAAATGTGAAGCTTAGAAAAATCTGTGGAATTAGATGTCCATAGCGGGGAGC